ATTTTCTTAAATCATCGCATCCAATCATATTATTAGAGAATAAATGTATTAAATTATTTTCTTAAATCACATTAGCACATTTTTCACCTTATAATATAGTTTTGTAAAGTCATATGTTTTAATAATGAAATCATGATCAATTTTTTAAACCATATAATGTATTTTACAATTTGCGGAGAGTAACCAATTTATGCCACATTTTTTATTGGGTTAAATGATAAAGTGATTCCTAAATTATATGTCTAAGATCATCCAAGACCCTAAGCTTTTTTTTTTTTTGGCATAATGTTCTTATTCAACTTTTTAAAATGGTGCAATATAATTCATGTCGTTAACAAAAGTTAACTTAATTATTAATTAATCAAAATTTTATATAAAAAAACCTTAAAAATTAATGAAAAGCACCCAAAAATTATAAACAAGAGACCAAAAAATTACCAAACAAAAAAAAAAGACTAAGAAAATTTTCTCTATATTTTTCCTTCAAGATTTTCTTGCTACAATTGGTTTAGAAAGTGGTATTTTCTAGAATGGTTGTGGTCTTAGCTAGAATTTTTAGACCAGTTGTTATTTACACTAGTTTAGAAAGTCTTCTTTTATTTTTATTTTATTTTTTTCTTTTTTTGGGGTACTTTTTATTTTCTAAACCAGTTCTGGAATCGGTCTAAAAGGTTTTGGACCTTTTAAACTACCTATGTCTAAAGCAATTCCAGAATCAATTTAGGAAGGCTTTTTTAAACAATTTAAAAGGCATTTTTTCCCTCTAATATTTTTTGTAATTTTTGAAGTCATTCTGTATATTTTTTTGTTAACTAACTATCAAAGTTAACAATTTTTTAATGATAAGGGCCACAATGAATCATCTTGAAAAGTTAAAGGAAAACATTATACTAAAAACAATTTTAAAGTTTTAAACACTCATAAACATATGTTTTAAACGCTAATTGCCCATTTAACCCTTTTTATTTTAAAATTCTTTAATATTGCAAAAAAAAATTATTCCATATTCTTGATGTCCTATGCAATGCATGGGGTGTCTCTAGTTAAAGAGGAATGCTAGTAAAAGTAAACCATAAACATGGTTAGAAAAAATAAAAGAAAGTTGACGAAGGACAGAATGATAAGTTGGCTTTTATCACTGTTTGATAAACTCAACGAACTTCAAAATTAAACCAGGATCACCTTATTTGGATGTCTAAAGCTCAAGTTATGACTCAGCAAAGTTGAGAAACAATCCGAAAAAATAGAATTGACCATATAAACAGTAAAATATTCATGTTAAGGATGTTCTAATTGATCTCACGGAATTTCAGTTTTATATTTTTCCCATATAGAAAACTTTCTATGCTTTGATAGTATGGTACAATTTTACCTGACAATATTAAAAAACAATGCAAAAATCCCAAATCCATAATAGAGACTTGATGTCCATTAAGTAAAGGGTTTTTTTTTTTTTTGGAAAATCACATCCACAAGTCATGTTCCCATTTTAACAATAATTTATTTCTCATTAATTCTTATTTGTGATTAATTCTCTTGAAAGGAGGCTGGATGTAATTCTCCCCCCATTTTCCTGGTCAGATTTAAGTAAGGGTTGTGAGTCTTACATACTATACCACCCATAAATGGGTTAGGGGCAAAAATATCCATGAATTAATACATTATGACGCAATTCTGCCCATCAACCCTAAAAATGGCACAAAAATCCCCAATTTTTAACCAATAAACACATTGGCAAATGCTGACCTTAAATGTTTGAAGCATTGATATTTTATTTTATGAAGTGCATATGTCAAAATACAAGTGTTTAAATTCGTTCTAATGGGCTAAAATTAACCTTAGGCACATCGTTTTATTTTGTCACACATCACATTCACAAAACAAGAGCGTTTCAATGTAATCTTAGTTATCATTATGAATTTGAGTATAATTATAATTGAGAGATCATTGAAAGCCTTGTAAGACATGCCATGGTCTTCCACTCTTAGGGTCATTGATTGGTCATTATGTTGTGATCGGTTAGGAGTCATAGTGATTGGTATAATGCGAGTTTTGTTTGGTTGCTTGACGACTTGCATTGAATGTTTGTCTAAAAATGATTCTTTATATTTTCCTAATTTATGAAATTGTTATTTTGTATATTGGTTGCATTTTGGGGGAATAAGGCCTTGGTAAGGGTATTTTATCATACCTCTACATAAAGTCTTTGGCCTAGATTACTACATTACTTAATATATTCTTTTTTATGAAAATTATAAATTATTTAACCATAGTAACTAGTTTCTGATGACCTTATTTTAAGAATTAAAATTGTTATAACTTACTAATATGCAGTACCTATGAGGCACCCAATCTTCAGTTTTATTTTAAAAAAAAAACATAAACCCCATGATGTTTAATTAAAGATGTTAATTGTCCAACATGATTTTCATTTCATGATACTAGCGTCTTTAAGAGCAAGATTTTCTAATAATGAGGTTCTTTTATGTTTCTGGCTTTTTCCACTTGCTTTTAACTAGGAAATTCATCTCACGTAATTTTAAACATAGTGCCAGTGATGGAGGAGGGAACGGTAAGGGCTACGACCCTTCTAACTTTTAAATTTTTTCTTAGTAAAATATAATGGTTATATATTTTTAACTCTTAGTTGGCACATTATAAAACTTATAAAACATTAGATTAAATTTCCATTTTAATTTCATATGTAGTCTTTTACATATATACATAGCAACTATTTTAGTAGCTAGAAGATATGGTTGTTATAGAATCTATTCATTTTTAACAAAATAATACTATACATGCTCTTAAAATATTGATGTCATTTTATTTTTCTTTCATTTTATATTTAAAGAAAGAAATTGTGAGAATTATTTTAACAAACTTTTTTAAGCATTGCAATAGAAATTCCAAAATATATTGAATGTTATGTGCTTAATATCTATCATAAAATCACTTATCCAAAAGTAAAAGGTATGGTTAAGATGTTCTTCTAAAAAAATTAATTTTTAAAATAATCAAGCTATTAAAATTTATTATATGAATGATTTTTACTTTGATATAATTTGATCTTATTAACATAAAGATTTTATGACAATCAAGCATTATTAATGTGTTGATATATTTGTTTACAACAATTATTAATTAAAAAAATTAAATAATAAATTTAATAAGCAAGTAATATAACTTATTACATTAAATAGAATTTTAGATTTTAACGATGTATTTAAATCATTTAATGCTCATAAAGATGATAAAATTTTTACCAATTTAATAATAATTCATATTGAGAAGAAAATTACTAAAACATTTATTGTAGACATAGTAACTAATAATTTTTATGCCATAAAAAATTAAAAAGAAAAATTTAATATATATATATATATATATATTGTTATACATGTGTAAAATTAAATATAAATATATATATTAAAATATTTATATTATATCGGTGATATATATATATATATAACTTTTATTTAATTATCATAAATACCTTATTATCTCAGCTTCCCTTAATAAAAATTTCCGACTTCGCCCCTACCTAGTGCTAGCTTTAATATTAATATTTCTCCGAATCTCTATCCCTCTTAGCATTTAGTACATTAAAGGCTAATTTTTGCCACTTGCTCATGTTTAGAATCTCCATAAGTTTCACCTCTATTTATGAGATATATATATATATATATATCCTTTTATTTCGATAATGTTAGTCGCTGTTTATAATCAAGTAAATGTCAACTTGAAGCCCCTTTCAATAATTCAACAACACCTCACCAACCCATTTCTCAAGCTAATCATGATTAATTGTGGAAGTTCTTTAATCACAACCAAAACCAGACTACCTTGATTATTTTGCAATATAATAATAAATGATTTCTTGATTTCATTTCACTAAAAAAATTTCAAGAAGTGATTTATTTCATATGTTGAGCCTTTAATGCTTGTTTAGTGGCCAATGCCTTCCTTGATTTCATTTCACTGAAAAAATTACAAGAAGTGATTTATTTCATATGATGGGCCTTTAATGCTTGTTTAGTGGCCAATGCATTCCTTAGTAATTTCCATATAAATCAATGGACTTATTGAGCTATTGGTAGCTTCTAAGTCTATTGTAGATTTCATAGTGCTCTTCCTAATTTTGCAACAATATTCTATCTTGATGTTTTTAAAGGTTAATTGGATTCATTATTTCCTTATTTTTGTGATATTTAAATGGCTTGATTTGAATAACTTAAGTTTGAGAAAGTAACGGAGGGCTTTATTTGTCATAGAGTGTAAACTTACTTAAATTGTTAATGAGTCATCCTTGACTTGAGGTGAAAATAAATAAAACTAAGTCTTATTTCTAATGGAGGTTCTATCAAATTTTCCATAGAGAGTATATGATTTTTTGTTCATGTTAAAAGCATGGTAAGAATTTTTAATCCTATTATTAACAAGTTTAACGTATTATATTAGAAGTGTCTTGAATTAAGGTTTAAGGAATGTAAGTTTTATATGCATATATATCCTGTGTTGATCACATTTTATTTTTTTAGGGCATGACAGTTGCACCATTTTTAGAATTTTTGACAAAATTGCATCATAATATAGTATATGATGAATATTTTTGCCCCTAATCCATTTTTACATGTCATACATGTGAGACTTAAACCCTTACTTAATGGACGTTTAACTCGTGTTACAAATTGGAGAACTGGGCATCATTTATTTTTTTTGGTTGATAGGTAAAATTGCATCATACTTGAGTTAAGGATATCATTAGCTCCTTTTAAAACATTTTGTGAATATTTTTACACCTTAACTCAAAAATAAAATACTACTAGATGAATAGAAATCGAGAACAATATTGTAAGAAAATTTGCAATGAGTCTTTTTGGACTTTAATTAACACTTTAGTCTTCACCTTAACCGCATCGCTCCCAATGCATCCTTGAGGGCTTAAAATGAGGATGTGACATTTGGGACCTTAAAATAGGAAAAATCACAATCAAGGACCACTAAAGATAATTAATTACACTACAAGATCAAATAATTTTGATATTAATCTACAGGACCAAATGACCTAAATTGAATTAAATTTGTTATGAAAAGACAAAACTATCCCTCATATGTTTACTATTCTAGTCTCATTTATAAGGCACTTTCAACATGTTTCATCATAATTAAGAAAAATTTTAAAACTCATTAATTTTGTCTAAAAATTTAATAATTTTTCAACTTTACCCCTATTAAATATACATATTTTAACAATGTATTCTTTCTTTCCAACATTCAATGGAGGTTAAATGGAAAAATTCATAATGAAAATACAATGAGGTGACTTATAAATAAGACAAAAAAACATCCTGTCTCTACCCTATAAATAGGACCAAAGAGAGTATATACACTCCTTTAAAAACAACTCCTCATTCAAAAAAAAAGTCCTATTTCCATTTTAATAGCAATCAATTCCTTTATTAATAATTCTAAAAAATTAATAGTTAATGAGCAAATAGGACCCTGAACTCTTAAAATATACAAAATAAATCTTAAACTTTTAAATTCATAGCAAAATAAACCTTAATCGTTAACTTTTTTAACACCGTTACTGTCCATACAAGTACTGTAACAAATAGGGTTAAATTCGTAAGAAAATACACCCTAAACAATACATGCGTGGATAGTAACGGTATTAAAAAGTTAACGGTTAGAGTTTATTTTGCTTAGGATTTATTTTGTATATTTTAAGAGTTCAAGGTCTAAGGAGATTTTTGAATAATAGTTCAAGATCCTATTTACTCATTAGCCCAAAAATTAACTTGGTGGTGGAGAAACAAGGGTTGCGATTAGTGACCAAGTCTCCATTCAAGAAAAAACAAGTCTTATTTTTATTTTAATAGTAATCAATTCTCTTAATAATAACTTCAAAAAATTTAACCTGGTAGTAAAGAAGAACAAATGTTGTGATTTGATAAACAAATCTCCATTTAAAAAAAATTCATTTTTATTTTAACAACAATCAATTCCTTCGTTAACAATCTAAAATATTAACTTGATAAAAAGAAATTATTATAATCTGGTAAACAAGTCTCTATTTAAGAAAAAAATAAGTTTAATTTTTATTTAACAATAATCAATTTCCCCATCACAATAAATATATAAGGGATAGTATTATCTTTTCATAACAAGTTTTAATTATATTTAGATCCTTTGATCCTGTAGACCAATATTAGAATCATTTAATTTTGCAACGCAATTAATTATCCTTAGTAGTCTTTGATTATGATTTTCCCTTAAAAATACCCATTGGCAAATATGGATCTTCTGTAGGCCTTGTCGTTTTTGGAAGTATAATGTCTAGTAACTAGGAAGATGGAGTAGATAATTCAGGTCAAGTGCATTAAGCCAACCTGAACCTGCTCGAAAAAGATTAGAGACATGCTTAGTTATATGGGCTTTTTAAATAGGGCATGATACTTCAAGCTTGATCCAAATAAATCCATCTTGAATTGAGCCCGATCTGAATAAATCCGACCACTAAAATTTTTTGATTTATATATATATCTAAAGTTGATACTTTTAAACAATTCCAACAAACCAGTTCAAACCTAACTAAAAAAAGTTAGAGCTGAATTTGACTGTATGAATTTTTTAAAAGGGGTAGAATATTTTAAACCTAACCTGAATTAAACTCGATTTGAATAAATCTAGCTTGCCCTAATTACTAGCTCTATAGGAAGGTTTGAATCACTCTTGACCTATATTAGCCCTTTCTTTCTTTTTTGACCACATATTAGCCCTTTCTTTTAAACCTCTACAATTTACTTTGCCACCAACCATGTTCAGAACATCAAACTTTATTCTATGCAATACAATTTATTTTTTTTTTTTTATTTTTTGGCATGAGGAGTTCCATGGTAAGGAACGAAAAATGAAGAATGATATGAATAATTAAGTTAAAGGACTTTGGTCCAAAAAAAAAAAGTTAAAGGACATTTTTATCCCTAAACTATACCTTAAAAACTTTTGCACTGTCTCCCTTTAACTTTTAAAAATAGTACATTGGGCACTCTATTATTAAAAATGTTAACTTTGACTGTTAATTAACTAAAAGTCACATAAAATAATATTAAAAATTACAAAAAAAGATATAAAAAAATTACATATAAATACCCTATATGAAAATGAATACTAATTATCACACTATTTTAATGACTTAATTGATATTAATTATATTATAGAATACTTATTTGTAATCATTGAGGTCCTATTCTAGAGAATTTTTCAGGTAAACTAAAACTCAAAGTTAACTTTTTTAACGACAGGGTGCTAGGTGTATTATTTTCAAATATTAAAGGAAAAAATTGTATTACATGTAAGTTTAGGATATCAAAAGCTCATGAGCAAATAATTAAAGAGTCAAAATACCCTTTAACCTGAATAATCTATAAAGTTACCCTTTAACAACTTGAGTTTTGAAATGACAGAAACAATCCCCTTAAGCTTGCTGGCTGTTCTGAACTTTCAAACGTGTTTATCTTTCTATAATGGCACAAAACTTAATCCCTCATGCAGAGTTTTAGACTATTAAAATTTAAATAATCTGTTATCAAGCCAACATTTTAGTTAGTATTTTTATGTTTCGCACTTGAAATCACAATTCACATGCAGGAGGTCATTTTGGCGCAATGTTGAAAACCTAAAGTTAAAACCAAGTTCTGGAATGACATAGGAATGGCAAACAATTCATTATTCTCTACTCAATTACTGCTATAAACAATTCATCATTCTCTATTCAATTACTGCTATCTTATGTACACCTAAAATTAATTGAATTAGTGTACTTTAGCAAATAAGATCAGACTCAACCATCTTAACTCACCAAACATTCTGTACATTGTGTTACTTGTTGACTGAACCATTAGGGACTGATGTATCAAGCTCCAATTTGCAGTCAGTTTGTAAAGCAGATAGCCAAGAATCGATCTGAAAGAGGCAGAAACATCATTATAAGAAACAAGTCATCTCAACTTGGACACAACTATGGCCAAAAATAATATTCCCTTCAGACTACAATATAAATCATTGTTAACTAATTCACGTTTCTCAAAAGAGGTTGGTTAAAATGTTTATTTTTTAAAAATTTCTATATCTTTTCAATCATGCCCTTAAGTATAATAAATATGACATTTGACTTTCAAAACATCTTCATAAATTGCTCAATAAAGTAAGGGTATAATTGAAAAAAATATATATAACACCTACCCAATGCTCTATATTTTGGATCAAGCAAAACTTGTAGAAAATATATTATGGTTCAAAGGGAGTATGCTTACAAACCTGAATTTTAGAACTGCTTGAGCACTCATACCGTAGTCCTTGATGAGTTAGAATATAAAAGGCATAGTGTACCTCATCATCCTCACGTTTTATACTTGGTAAGCGCCCAACTTCAACAACATCAGATAAAAGGGTGGAGTCCTGTGGGCTAAGATCTGCAATTTTCCTCTTAATCAATAAACAGACATTGACGTTCTGTAGATGAAAACCTGTTATCTGAATGCTTGAAAATATAATATACTCCTTTTACCCTAGGTTATAAGACAATTTTAGATAAAATTATGCATGCCAATAAAGCTCGTCAAATACACTTTACAATGTTATTTATTTAAAACAAAAATATCAATTTTTAAAAATACCCTTCATTTAATAATGTTTAGCCGACCCCACCTAGTGGGATAAAGGCTTGTTGTTGTTGTTGTACCCTTCATTTAATAATGTTGAAGAGAGAGAGAGAGAGAGAGAGGATATAATGAGGATGGAAGGGTAATATTGGAAAAATATAGTTAATGAAATCTAACTTTTATCAAATTATCTTATATTTGAGGGCACTGAATCACATCTAAAATTGTCTCATAAGTTGGAATAGAAGGAGTACTTAACAAAGATAACCATGTTGACCATTTGGTTTACTGTCCAACTAAATGTCATATTCACGTGTTTTAAATTCTCATCTCAATAACCGAGAAATGAGAAACCTTTAACAAATTAATCTTGCAAACTTTGCAAGTCAAAAGCCAATCCTAACAAGCATGGGAACGAAGAAAAAAGTTTAAGAGATAACAGAAAATAAGTCCTCCATAAACACAAGGAATATTTATAAAGAAACACTAGTTGTGTAACAAGAGCTCTAATAGAAAACAGTTGAGCAATTCTGGTGGTTCGGAGGACTTAATTTGAGATACAATATTCCCATGATGGAAAAAGCATAAATGAAATTTATCTAAATATGAGGTTGATGCATTGCTCAAGTATAATCATGCTTGACAAGAGGGTGATGCTAAAGTTACCCAGTCAACAAATCAACAAAATGTGAACACTAGAAGCAACTGCTAGCTACATGGTGGTACCCATCCACTCAAGAGAAAAGAAAGAATGAGAAGTGGCAAGTGATAGCAACTTCAGTACATATCAAGCATGTCAATTTACAAAAGGTCAATTTGAATAAAAAATACTTAGGCCATTGCATGCTCTCGCAAAACAAGAAATTAGCATATTACTCGATCAAGTAAAATAAGAGATAGAATCATTAACATATGAACTACCTTATTCTACCTATTTTTCCTCTGATTTCCTTTCATGCATTCTAAAACTAACATTGAAGGTTTGTGCTTTGTAGTGAATGCATGAGCACACACGCAAAGAGGAAGGATAAATAAAATTAAGCAACATATGCATGTTAGTAGGAAGTACAATAATTGAGAGGTATCAAAGAAGTAAAAGAGGAAATTGGGGGGGGGGGCAGATATACTGCTTATGAATGCATTTCTTAATCTGACAAGAAATTGATATTGTAAAAAAATGCATACATAACAAGAGGGGACAAAAAGACTTATTTAGATTTAACACTAAAAAGGAAAATAAAATATCAGGTAAAAGTGTTTTCTAGAATTTCTTTCTCCCATGCAATGAAGATAGAACTTCGAAACAAGAAGAATAGAGGGGGAGACCAGGAAACCGACTAACAATATTTAATGTATACAACAAATAAATTATATACAAACCCCCATGGAAAACAACAAAGGAAGCCAGTCATCAACATCAACACTCTTGGTTTGTGCTTCATAGTTTATATCCTATGCATGCTAGCCGTAAGGACGAAGAGACAGAGGGTATGAGAAAGAAATCAACTACTTATATTACCTGTACATGACAAATATAAGAATATGCATGCCCCATGGAGAACAATAAAGCGAGGAAGCCAATCATCTACATCAGTATCATCTATGGGTGGAGGTTCTCCTGGTAGTGCGGTCCATCTCTATATAGAAAATTAGAGGCAAATTGTCATGAAATTGATAAGGTAAATCAATAATTAAGCACAAACTAATCTAAGATAGAGTAATAAGGTAACAAGGTTTTGAACAGTCAATACCGTTCGAATGTAAAGATAGCCAGAGAGACGAGCAGACCGCAAAATCTCATCAATATGTTCCAACCTATGAGGGATAATATTTCAATGACATGATCATTGATTGGAAAACACATGTATTTCCCAAATGGTACGTGAGATGTCCCCTCAAAACGGGTAGGGATGGGTAAAGATAAACCAGTAACATCTCACTGGTTTTTGAAAGCAGCAAAAAATTGTACTCCAAAAAGGACTAGAGTTTTTTCTCATCCAAACAGAAAGAATCACTAATTAAGCGTGAAGCAAAGAACAAAAGAAATTAGGGAATCAAACTTCCTTTTATCCATATTACTCAAGAAGCTACTCATGAATATAGTGGACTTCACAGCTAATGCTAGCATCTGAAATTTAAAATGTTTTTCATTATCTTCCATGCTTTGACCTAAAGGGATATTATGTGCAAACAGAAAAATGAAAGGCAACCTAAAGCAAAGTGTTGCTTCTAATTGATGACGATTCACAATAAATTAGAAGATGGTTAAGATTATAATAATCCACAGTTAGTCACTCACTGAGCTTTCAAGTGGGCTTCCCTCTCCTCTATATCAGCAACTTCTGATCGAAGAGACTCTATTTCTGCAGTTGTTAGCTCAACCTACAAATTATGAACTCGTTTTGGTAAGGCATCGTAGAGTTTACATTACTGGCAAAAGGTGCTCGAAGTGTACCTTTTCCTGACCACCACTTCTAGAACCCCATGACAGGCCCCGTAGACTAAACAATTTCAACATGAAAGCAGATCTTAATTTACTACGAGTCCACAGATGATGATGATGATGAGACCTAAATTGAAATAGATTGAGTGACTAATTTTAAGCAAAACTACAAAGTTTATATTTGTATTTTTCTTTTCCCACCAGAAAACAGTACCTCAAAGATTTATCAGTTCCAGGTTCTGAAATTGATGGTGTTCTGTTTTCAAGAGATTCTTCGCTTGATGTTGGAGCTTGAAAGTGATCAGAGATTATCTTTAATTTTCCATGTCCATCATCCATGAAACTGACCTTCTTCAAGAAGATAGGGCAAGAGTATAAGAGAAGAAGACTGTCATGACACGATGATAGGTTAAATTATCCTGAAACGGCAGCTAACACCAATATGTCAGATGCAATTGACCCCCAGTAAAAGTATCATTTACTCAATTGTTTTACAAGTTCATAAGTTGCAAGCAAGTTTCATTAATCTAAGCAAAACAATTGTCCTTGCAATCTTTCTGTGAAATCATAATAAATGAAGGAAAAAAGTTTATAACATTGAATTGACAGCGAATTGATGCAAATGATGAAATAAAGGCATTGAAGAACATAAAAGAACGTTTGGACTGCTAATCATTTGGAACCAACAACTCAAGCAAGATAGCCTAGTCGTATAGATGTCATCAGACCCAAAGGATAAATGGAAAACAACTACATATTGATTACCCGAAAATATCACATACTCACCCGCAATAGTTCGAAGAAGCGATAAATTATCTATCTTTTACAGCTCCAAGCACATTAATCAATTTAAAGAATGGGAACCTAGACTTGGAAGTAGATTGAGAGACAAAGGAAAAAATTTCTAACCTGAAAATGAAAAGTAGGGAAAACTCCTTAAAAATGACCAGTGAAAAGGGAAACCAACTCAAGGCCACGGGTATTAAACAACATCATCGTCCAACATATGCAGATTTATTAACCGATTCCCCAGCAGAAAGGATCACGGATAACTCACTCATATTGTTTTTGATTAAAAAAAAAAAAAGAGCAGGAAAGTTAAACTCCTCAGCTAAAATGAAAAAGCCTCACACGAGCGTCCATCAATCAATTAAAATTCTTGAGATAATACACACACACACACACACACACACAGAGAGAGAAGGAAGTGAATTAAAAGAATCCAAGGAGGAGAAAAGCAGAGATTCGTTGTTGAGATCGTACTACGTACCTGTGGTCGCGTGGGAGGGGACTTCAGAAAGAAAGAAGGCAGCTGATGAAAAACACTTCCCTGGCCGCAAATAGATTTGACCCGAAGCCGGAACACGACTGTTCGGTATATTCGGTAGTTTACGGCGCGGCCTAGTCGGAGTGGTTATCACTTAAAAGACATTTTTGCCCATTTATTTCCAAATTCATTTATATTTTGCTTTTTGGCATATATGTGTTTATGTATTTATCGAGGAATTTGTATAGAAGTATCAGATAACAAAATTAATTACTCATAGGTCCCCAAATTTGGTTTGTTAGTAAAATAGATTCCTTATTTTTTTTTATTTTTCCAAAAAAAACTATAATAAGTTATAAATTTCTCAATTTGACAACACACAAATACAAGAGGAGGATTTGTGAAATTTTTATTTTAAATCCCATGGTGATTTACTAGTTCTTCTCCCTTATTTGTAAGTGAAATTCAAAAAATTACAGCTAATCTTGTATGTTTTTTTTTTTGGCAAAAGTTCTCCAAAAACTTTACGTAGTGTATGGATATTTGAATTTAAATTTTAGGTTTAAAATTTTACATTTAAAATTAATTTTTTAAAATAATTTGTTTGGATAGCATAAAAAATTTAAGTTAAAAGATAACAAAAAAGAGAGATGAAAAATGTAAATGGAAAGAGATAAGAAGGGTTAAAGCAACTAGTGTTTCAAATAATCAGGCTATATAAGAAATTTAAAATTACAAAGTAATCATAATAGTATATGAATTTAGGTTTGTATCAAATTTAAATTTATAAATTTTAATGGATCCAAATCTATGAAGTAGTGATATTTCAAATTGTGTCATGTATCCATGTCAATAACGTATTTGATACCAATACTTATTGTCACCGGTACTTTTTCAATGAACATCCATAAAGTATCATAATATTATCTTTTAAATTTAAAAAATTTTAATTTTTGATACATATCAAATATTTCTAAAATGCAAGTCGATACTTCAAAACTAATATTTTAAGAAAAATTTTAAGAAATTAAATTTTATTAAAGATTGAGATACTAAACTTTTTATCACTAATATCGTTTTTGATTTTCTTTTGAAGTTAAAGATTAAAAGTTTTAGATGTAATAAAAAAATAAAAATTATATTTTTCTTAATTATAAATATGTGAGAATTTAATCTTATGTTAGTCAAGGAGGGAAAAATATTGATATTATACCTATTACTAGGGAATAGGCGGTAGACAATTAGATATAGATAATATAAAAGTATAATTAATGATTGTGTTTTGCTTGGTAATACTATAAAGAACTATATATGTATGTTAGTTTGGATTTTTTTTTAAAATTGAAATTATATTATTAATGTATATTTGATTTTTTTTAAATATATATGTATGTATCGAGAATATGTTGTGCCCTATATTTTTAAAAATAAAAGTATCAATATATTGGATACGTATTTTATCCGATACATGCATTGGTATCTATGTATTATAGATCCAAATGGTGAATTTAATTCAAATTTAAATTCACATGCATCCAAATGCAATATAATAGCAACTAATTTTTTTATTATGAATATTAGAATATTATGTGGATATCTCTTATCTCATTATATCTTTTAGATTTTTTAATATCTTTCAGTTATCATAATATCTTTCAGTTATTATTATTTTGTATATTTCACTTAATTTAATTGATATATTTATACCTATAAATAAAATGCACTTTAATTATATTTAACTTACTGAAATAAAAAAGCTCTCAATTCCCATGATATGTTGTTCTCTCCTTCTAAGTTTTTCTATTATTTTCTTACCTCAATTTTTATTTTTATAATGCGTTACCAGCATAATCATTCTATTTTTAGCATTGCTAGGTGAGTGCTCTTATAATATCTAGATTAGAGATTAATATTTATGTCAATGAACATCTCTAATAGAAATGAATGCACACTTAGTTAAAATAACTAAGTAAATTTTGCTCATCCATGCACTCCTGTTATTTTATATATTATTTATTTATTGAATTTATTTTCTCAATTATTTTCTTCCCCCCTCAATCAAATCAAATAATTATGTATTGTACGTCATATTCAAAAGTATGGGACACATCTTAATTTTAGAAAAGTGGATTTTGAAGTTATAACATAGAGTGAATCATGAAATTATCTACACATAACATAAACTATATCTTAAAAATTCATATATAATATAAAGTAAATTCAAAAATTATACCCCCAACACACACATACATATAATATAGAGTGAATCATGAAGTTATTCACAATATAAGGTGTATCCCAAAGTTTTTCACATGAAAATACAAGGTAGATCCAAAGTTATTTACATATAATATAAAATAGATTATAAAGTTATGTATAGGTAGATTGTGAAGATCTATAATATATTGTAAATGCTATCAATGGTACTGTAGATCTACAATATCCATCCAGCTTTTTTTTATTATTTTTACTTTTTAATTGTTTGATATGTAGCACTGCTTTTTTTTTTTGCTTTTTATTGTTAATTTTTTTAATGTGATATAATAAAAAAGTTAAAGAATAGCATGGGCCTTATGGTAAAAGGGGTACATGTGGGACCTACAAAAATAAATTGTTAATATGAAACTTATAGTTAAAAATGAGTAAAATATTTTGTCTATTTTTATCTTAATTAATCATATCTATCTCTCCTTTTTTTAAAATCTATATGAACATTTCTTAATATAAATAATTATAAAATGAAAGCCTCCCTTTTATTTTTAAGATTTTATTTTCATCTACCTAACTATTAGTTGAATGTTAAGTCATGTATGTTGGACTAAAATACCCCCATTTTAATATAAATGTTGTCTAAAAATTATTTAAATGACCAAAAAATAAATTTTTTATTATTTAAATTTTCATTATTTAAATGTATTTATCTTGTAACTTTTTTAAAAATTTAAATATATAAATTGGCCAAAAAAATATTCAAAAACGCAATTTATGGACTTAAAGAGAAAAATAAAATAAAATAATTTTAATAATTTTGGGTAGTTAAACCAGCCTAAAGAAACTCAAAAGCTAGATGTCTCAGGAGTCAGGCTTAACTATAAATTTTTTATGTATTTAGATATTTTAACCTTGCTATGAATTAAGGATCTAAGGGTAATGGAGTGAATGTAATATTTTAATAAACTTGATTTTTAAAAAAAATTAGTGTAGTGTGGTTTAAAAAAGTGGTGTGTGGGATCTACCATTAAAAAATATGGTGGGGTCTACATTTATAAATTTTTAAAATTTAAATAAGGTGTAAAAAATAATAAAATTTTAATATTTTGAGAGATTATGTAGGATCCATAGTAAAAATTAATAGTGAATATAAGATTTTTATTAAAATGATAGGTGTTAAATCTACAAAAAAATTTTCTATATATTTATATTGTGGGGGTTTTTGTAGATATAATTCATATTATAAGATCAAACTAATCAAACAACTCAATATTTATTATATTTTACATTATGGCCAATTTATTATATTTGTCAATGACATACCATTATATATAAATGATAAATCTCTTGTAAATTTTAAATGATAAACTTATTATATATTAATAATAAATCTTTTGTATATCAATGTCAACAAGCCATACTCCCAAATTTTTAAAAATATGATCCATATTTTATGGATGCAAAAGTTTTGGCTGTATGACCAAAACTTATGGCAACCCCTTATATAAGGTATAAAAATCTATTATTTTATTATTTATATGTAAAAGTTGATCATGATTTGAACACCTATAAAAAATATTGATATAGTTTGTATCTCAAGTCTGAGCAAACAAAATTATGAGCTACAAGTTAATTATATGATGTTAATAAATTTAAGTTAATTATATGATATTAATAAAGTTATCTTTCACTCCACACATAATCTTTTCTCAATAATCATTTTGCTACTTTTAATGATTGTATGTATGATTGATGAATAGTATTATAACATGGATTATATTATTTGCTTGAGTTACAACTATTATAATTATGATTTATAAATAATATTATGATATAAATTGTAGTATGATTCATTTTAATATATGTTTTGTTTTCCTTAAGGTGATACGTGGGGCAACACATTTTGAAGAAGAACAAGTTCTATTATATTTCAAATTGTAGTAAGTGATAATTTTTTTTAAAATGCTATATATATATATATAAGTAGCACATTGGAAAATAAAAGTCGATCCTTATATGTATCATCCCACTAAAATTTTAGTCTCATACTTGCCGATTGTGGAGATACCTTAAGAAACAAGAAGAAGTTAAGTCATGTATGTTGAACCAAACTACCCCTATTTAAATATAAATGTTGTCTAAAAATTATTTGAATTTAAAAAAATAAAAATTTTTATTTAAATTTTTATTATTTAAATGTATTGATTTTGTAACTTTTTAAAAATGAAATATATAAAAAATATACTCAAAGATGTAGTTTATGGACTCAATAAAGAGAAAAATAAAATAAAATAATTTTTAATAATTGGGGTAGTTAAACCAACTTAAAGAAACTCAAAAGTTAAAGGTGTTAAGAGTCAGGCTTAATTATAATTTTTGTATGTAAGATTTTAGTAAACTTTATTTTTAAAAATTAGAGTAGTGTGGTTTACAAAATTAGTGCATGAGACCTGCCATTAAAAAATGTGAGTGAGGTCTGCAATTATAAATTCTAAAAATTTAAACAAATTGTACAAACTAATAAGATTTTTACATTTTGAGAGATTATGTAGGATTCATAGTAAAAATTAATGGTGGATATAAAATTCCTAATACAATAATAGGTGTTAGATATACAAAAGCGAGAATATATTTCAAATTGCAAGAGGTGAGAAATTTTAAAAAAAATGCTATTGTTATATATATGTAACATCCCAAAAATTTTAAGACTCGGATTTATTCTGAAAAAATAAAATAAAATATTTATAATTAAATTAAAATTAAAAATAATTTGATAGAGATCCAGAGTTTGAATTTTAATTAGCAAAAGTTGGGTTTTATTTTATTTTTAACTATGAAAAAAATTGCCAAAGTTGACCCGAGCTTTTGTGCTATAATAAAAAATATTGGGCCCTTTCTTGTAATTTTTTCCAAAATCTTATATCAGC